ATATATATGTATATTAGACTGTTTTAAAAGTGTTTTGGCCGTACTGCACACCTTTAACATGATTTTGATGGTTGATGGTTTTGAGAGGTTTTCAGCTTTCCTAGACTCCTCTTCCATGGTTTTTGGTGGATTTTGGTGATTTGTAGAGGTTTTTGGCCCTCTTTAGCCAGTATCTCATTTTGTTCGTGGTTTATCTGCTAATTTTGTAATTTAATTCATCACACTCATGTGGTCATTTGGTGACATCACCTTAGCTCTGCCCACTCAAAACAGGAAGTGATTTATTTACCTGCTGGATGTTTATCTTTTACACGGTTTGTGAAGAAATTAACAGAAAATCTTTTACAGTTACAAAAATGAATGGAAGTCAATACAATGTCCTCAGTTTGATGCGAATACAAGGATGTGTGTGTGTGTGTGTGTTGGTGGCATTGGCCTGTTGGGGTGTGGATAAGGATTGATCATGGGCAATTTTGTGCAGATTGGCTGAATTATGTGGATTAAATACATCTTTAGGATGAAAGCCAAAACAAGTTTTAAACAGCAAACACAAACTAAAAACAGGACGAGTTGCACAGCTGGCAATCCTCTCAAACTTTCTCCAGGAACTATTCTAGTTCTTTTTCAACGTCCTCCTCACTATTCATTCACCTGTTGAGTCCAGGCTGACTACAGCAGAGCAGCTGCTGTATGGACCCTGCCCGGCCTTGTTGACGCAGGACACCCTGAACCTGAAGGGGCCACCTGCTGGCAGGTCAGTGACATTGTAGTAGCAGTCAGCTATCCCAGTGGCAACAGTCACCCAGTGAGAATCACCTGCAGAAAAATGGGGGTTAAAGTAACTGCTCTTATTTCTCTTTTTTTTGTTTTTGTCTAATTTGAAAACATATTGCAGTTAAAACAATGAACACTAGATGGTGCTATTGGCCAACATAAGCTATTACTCATTGTCTTACAGAAAAGTAATCAATTAGAAGTAGCTTTGTATGCAGGCATAGTAAAAACTTTAATAAAAATATACATTTATCAGGTTATTTTACACCTGTTTCAGAGTTTTCTTGTAAAAGTTAAGATTAAGTGAGACATCACAGCCAGAAAAGTTCAACAACTCACAACATATTCTGTGGATAAATTTCTATTCAACACATTAATTACAAAAGCTCAATAAAAGCATCTTTTGAGGTCTTAATCTGTTTCATTTACATGTATAGTGTTGGAAGCACCAGCAGTCCTCACATGCAGCTCCCTCTTTTAGAGCCTCGGAATCTCAGTGACAATAAAAAACATTCACAGCTTACATATTACATCCTGACTCTCTCACCTTCTGCTTTTCTTTCCAGAGAGTAGCTGCATGGAGATTTGGTGTCCGCTGGCTTCCACAGCACCAGAGCCGTGTTGTTGTAGGTCTGGGCTACTTCAGGGGTCCCTGGGCGTTTGGGAACAGCTGGAGCAGTCGAGCAAAATAATGAAAAGTGACAGATGAAAAGTTAGAGGAAGAAAGTGACAAATTAGGTACTTGCTACAAAAAGACTTACATTTGTTACATTTAAAGTCAAAATTTAAAGCACCCTTCATAATGTTTGCTACATTTTTGAAAAAGAGCTTATTTTGCCCTAATTTGTTATTTGGTAATTATGTTATTTATAAGCATGCACACACACACACACACACACACACACA